TGTCCTGGAAGCCCCTTTTGAAGCCTCAGCCCTTCATCCCCTCCTCGGCTGGCTACCTTGCTGAGTGCTTAGAGGCTTGGACATTGAGTGAAGCCAAGAGTGGCATTAGGTAAAAGGGTAGAAGTTAGCAGACCAACCGAACTCTCAATTACATGCCTAAGCCCAGGAGGAATGAATCGGCTGACTTCCAGCCGCGTGTTTCTCAGGCACTAACCCCGGTGCAGAAGGAAACCCAGGGTGGCGGGGTTTTGCCTGAGCCCTGCTTTCCGGTCCCCAGGCTTGGGAAGGGAAAGGAAAAGATGCAGATGGCAAACAGGGGTTCAGAGCGTTCACCAGCCCCTCTGCTCTCCACAGGCCTTGGATGATGCCAACAAGGGCATCGTGGAAGAACTGAAGAAAACTAACTACAGGGAGATGCTCAAAGACAAAGGTGCGTCCCCGGAACCCCCAAAGGGCAACTCCAGTGTCCCCCGGGGTCTTCTCTCCCAGCAGTCCTGGCCACACTTTCCAGCAGCTCCCCCAGCCACAGCCTTTCCCTAGCAGAGGACGGGGGAGGGTTGGGCCCACTGTGGGTGGGGCTCTGCACCCATCCTGTCAGCGCTCAGAGCCCCCTCTGCTGTGCGCTCTCGCCCCTGTGCATGGTGGCACTTCCAGGCAAGGGGGCTCCTGCGAGGCTGGAGTGCAGAGGCCACTGTTTTGCTTAACAGCGGGGCCTGACAGCACTGTTTCTCAGAAGGCTGCAGGGAGTGGCAGTCTGTGACCCTCTGTCTCCAGGCTGCCCTTGCCCACAGGGAAGGAGTGAGGGAAGGGAGGCACAGGATGGGCACGTCCAGAGGAACTGGGCTGAGAGTAGCAGCTGATCTCCATCCGTTCAGGGCCTTCCCTGGGCCAACCCTTCTTCTAAGGGCTCTGTATGCACTGACTCCCTGGCCGTCCCAAAACACTGCCAAAAAAGTCTATTCAGCTTAATTTTATAGATGAGGACACAGAGGCAGTGGGGTTAAAAATCCACAGTGGCTTTCAATATTGACTTTGGAATCTGTGCTTTTACCATGGCTCCACACTGTTTCTGGTGACAGATGGCCTATCTGCTTCCGTCTGTGAAGTGCGCCCCTTACCTCAGCCATATTGCAGTGGAGGGTGGGGGCGGTGGTCCAGGASGACAGAGTCCAGGGCAGATTCCTGGCTAACACCCTCCAGGCTCCAAGGATCCATCCTTTCTGGTCCTCCAGGTCATAGCAGCAAGAGGTTTCTAGACACCAGAACAGCCCCGTGACAGCTCTGTTATCTGGCGCCTGCCACGTGGCAGCTGAATCCCCTCAGCAGCCCTCAGAGCTGCTCTAAGAAGCCACATGAGTGATAGATGTGAAAAGAGAAGGGGCAGATGGGAAATGGCAGATGCTCCAAGCAGCCCTTCCACCCTTCTGCAGGCTGCACACTAGGGAAAGTGTCTTTTGGGGTCCTCATGCTGAAGACACTGTGGCCAAGGCCACTCCTGGCACTTCCTTCTCAGAACAGCAGGTGGCAGCATTGCTTATCTTTTCACCTCCAATGGCAGAGAGCCTCAGTCCTGTGGCTGGGAACCCAGCAGCTTCCAGAAAGAAAATGAAGGATTCAGGAGGGGATTGGTGACTTTTCTCTGTAACTGTTAAAAACAAGGAGTGAGAATCCCTTTGGTCATAAAACAGCAGCTCTCTAGCTGATCCTGCTGCTGGCAGCCTTTTCATATTTTTACAGGAACCCTCTTAACAAATGATAAATATGTTCCTGGCGTGGTGGCACCCACCTGTAATCCCAGAGGCTCGGGAGGCTGAGGCAGGAGAAGTGCAGGTTCAAAGGCAGCTTCAGCAATTTACGATGCCCTAAACAATTTAGTGAGATCCTGTCTCAAAATTAAAAAGGGCTGGGGATGTAGCTCAGGAGTAAACTACCCTAAAGCACCCCTGGTTCAATTCCCAGTCCCCCCCCCAAAAAAAAAATATATATATATATACACTTCCCAGAGACAAAGAGAATATGGATGAAGGAGGATAGTGGAGAAAAGAATCTGCTGTCATTTCCCAGCACCTATGCTACTTTCCACAGGGAAGGGAGGGAAGAGAACACAGGCTCTTGGGTTGGACCATCCTACCTTCAGCTCGACTCTTGTACTTGCAGTGACCGTCGTGTGATTTTCTTTTGCGGGTCTGGAGTCCTTCGACTGCAGATTCCCCCAACACTGTGCAGTTTCCTGTTGGAAGGGTGTTGGCCCCTCACATGCTGCCTCGTGGGGCGGCGTGATCAAGGAGTGAGGGTCCCCTTTCCTCCTTTTGGGAAGGGCTCCATCAACACCAGGGGAAGGAGCATGTGAAAATTCTCAGGAGCAAAGGCCTCCACAGACGTAGTGATGACCAGGCTTTCACCTCTCTTCCCTTCTTTGTGCTGTTTTTCAGAAGAGGCCCCTGCCCTGAATGAAGACAGAACAGTGGAGGCGAAGGAGAAGGAAGGGAAGAAAGGGAGGGAGGACACCAAGAAGGTGATGAAGAGCTGGGAAAGGGAGCAAGGGGAGAGCGASGGAGACACCGAGGAGGAGGAATTCAAGGACGATTCTCAGAGACAGAAGGCAGAGAAAGCCATAAGAAGCTTCAGGGAAGATTCCAGGAGAGTGTCGGAGGGCAGGACGCTGCTGGAGGTGGACAGGAGAGAGTCCAGGGAAATTTACAGGCGGCCTTCAGAATTAGACCAAGAGATTTCCGGAGGAGAATTAAGCACAAAGGCCTCAGAAAGACTGGAGAAAAGACTTTCCGAAGTAAGTTCAGGAGAGAAAGAACCGGGGGAAACAGAAGAAAAAGAAGAAGTGAAAGCGGAGGAAACAAAAATTGCCCAAGAAATGGAAAAGGAGTAGAGTGAAGCCTGCCTTACCAGGCATTAGCAGGAGGCTGGTGCTCGAGGGCCATGACTCTCTTAACTGGATTTTCAAGCTGAGATGTGTTTTTGATGGGGGGGGGGATGGGAAACAGGTTCCCACAGGTCACCTCTACCTCTTTCTATCACTAATTTCTCATTAAATATGTATCTTTCACTTTTGCAAACCCTAAATATCATTTTGTCTCCTCACTCCCACCCATTTTCAGAAGGCCTCATGGAAGAAATGAGAAAAGTGCTAGTAAGAATCTCAGGTGAAGAAGCAGAAAGTTATAGTTGTTATTATTATTTGGTACTAGGGATTGAACCCAGGGACACTTTACCACTGAGCTATGTCCCCAACCCTTTTTTATTTTTAATTTTGAGACAGGGTCTCAATAAGTGGTTTAGGGCCTTGCTGAGGCTGGGCTTGAACTAGTGATCCTCCTGCCACAACCTCCCGGGTTGTGCCACCGTGCTAGACTGGAAACCAGAAAGTTCTAAGGGAGAAGGAAAAGAGAACGGCCTGGGAGTAGTGGTGTGTGTACCCAGCTCCTAGCCTCTGATTCACCCAGTAAGGACTTACTGAGTGCAGGACTGGAAGACCACATCACAGGAAGGATCAGTGTTGGCTGGAAAGGCCTCAGCCATCATCAGCAATCATACTGTGGGCAGACTAGGCCCCAAAGCAGAATGAAGGGAACGAAGGGAATGCTGGTGCTGATAGTTGCTCTAAGGACCCAGAGGAAGAGAGATGGTTTCTGCCGCAGAATAGCAGGGGAGCCTGGGAGTAGGTGCTGCAGAGGGACTCCACCTCTGCCACCTCTGGGTGGTCCAATCAAGTAAATCACTGAAGCTTGTTTCCTCCTCTGTACAATAAGGAACCTGCCTCCAGGACTGACCTGAGGATTATGAGTGCAAAGAAACAAAATCCAAGCATTCAATGGCTTTACCGAGGAGGTGGCGGCTGAGCAGTTGGCCAACTAGGGTAATTCCTTTACCACGGTGGTCCTGGGTCAGGGATGAGGCTGACTTTTGCTGAATCGGAGTCAGGACTATGTTCAGAAAATGTGAGGTGGTTGCAAAAATTTATTGCAGTGACCAAAAACTCAACAATTTTTTTTTTTTTTTTTAGAGAGAGAGAGAGAGAGAGTGAGAGAGAGAGAATTTTTAATATTTATTTTTTAGTTCTCGGCGGACACAACATCTTTGTTGGTATGTGGTGCTGAGGATCGAACCTGGGCCGCACGCATGCCAGGCAAGCGCGCTACCACTTGAGCCACATCCCCAGCCCCTGAAACTCAACAATTTTTAAATTTTCATTTAAAAAAATTTTTTATGGGCTTGGGTTGTGGCTCATCGGTAGAGTGCTCGCCTAGCATTCGCGAGGACCTGGGTTTGATCTTCAACACCACATAAAAATAAATAAAAYAAAGATATTGTGTCCAGCCAAAAAATAAATATTAAAAAAAATTATATATTTTTATATGGTGCTGAGGATCAAACCCAGTGCCTCACACATGCTAGGCAAGCGCTCTACCACTGAGCTACAGCCCCAGCCTCCTCCCACTTAAAATTTTTATTATGATTGAATGCGGTGCTGGAGATAGAACCCAAGGCTTCCTGTATGCTAGTCAAGTAGCTCAACCATTAAGCTACACCCCAACCACACAGATCAAGTTTTAATGAACTGTTGCAAAAATCAATGAATAAATGCAAAGATGCACGATAAATATCCAATTTTAAAGACAGGATCCTATTCTGCAGTTTAGACCCTATCTCTCTCACTGAATCCTAATTCCATGGGGCTGCTGGGGAAAGGTGATTAGGTCCCTAGTTCAAGAATTAATCATTAATGGGGGCTGAGGACTAGCTCAGTGAGAGCATGCACTAGGCCCTGGGTTCACACCCCAGCACAAGAAAATGAAAGAAAGCAGAATTAATCATTAACATGTTTAAGCAGAAGAGGCCGATCGGTGGCTCCGGGGGCGCAGGTGCAGCCCAGGTGTGCAGCTGCGCGAGGCAGGGCCTGGAGCTCCTTCCTGGCGCGGAGGGAGGTTTGAGTTTCGATTAGCGGCGCCTGCGCAGAGGGTCGGCCGAAGCCCCGCCCCCCGGGCTATGTAAAGCGGCCGGGCCCGGGGTGGGTCACCGCGAGACGCCGTGTCCCTCGCGCAGGCGGGTGGCCCCGGAGAGCTAGTGCGTGCAAAGGCGGGACGGAGGCGCCCCCCACTCATCATGGTGAGCTGACGTGTGGACTGGAGAGAGGGCCGGGCTGGGCGCGGGGGGCGGGTGGTATGGTAACGGAAAGCGAGAGTATTTGAGGATTCTTGGGAGGATGTGCTATGCAAATGAGGACCCGAAGTTCCGGAGTTGAGTTCCAGCTTTCTGGTGACTCCAGGGCAGCCCGAAGGTAGGGGGAAGCTTGGGGGAACGCGCACCCCCATGGAGAAGGGAAACGGTGATATTTAGGAGGAAAGAATTTGGGAAAGGCAGCAACTGCTGCTTCCCGGGGACACCCAGCTGGAGGGTGGACCTGGGTCTGGGTTAGAGGACCCACGCGCCCCAAGATTGCTGACTGCGCCTGTCCAAGTCCCCTTCTGATGGAATAGTAGGCCACCTCATCTCTCAGGATGCAGATGGGAGGCAGAGCCAGTGCGGAGAAGATATTTACAGTAAAAACTGTTAGTCACTTGTTGCTTTTAGCAAACAGGAAAAGAAGAGGCTCAGAGAGGTGCTGCTGGCACACAGCAAAATGGAGGGCAGAACTAGATCCTGAACACAGGTGTCTTGTGCCTCCTAGTCCTAGAGCAGGCACAAAGACCTCGACTTTGTAGGGGGCCTGCAAGAGGGCAGAGGAGGAGATGGTAGGCAGTGAATGAGGCCCTTTGTCCAGTGCTCTCCTGCCCTGCCCCCCACTAGCCCTCTGTGGGACCATTGTCCCCCCATACCAGACAAGAGAGTATTATCTGTTGCTGCCATTGTTGGGGGAAGGGAGGCGGTCTTTGGGTGACCCTCCTCCACCCCCACACTCTTTTTTGCGCACACACACAGCCAGGGCAGCTGTGTCTTTGCCCAGACATAGTCCCCAGCCTCCAAAGGGAACATCCTTAAGAGGTGCCAGGAATATAAAAGTTAGGGCCAGGCCTGGATGCACAGGCCCCAGCCTCCCCTGCATGCACTTCCACCAAGTGTCCCTTTCAGAGAGGTAGCAGTGGATGATCCTTGAGGCCAGGAGAGTAAGAGGTTAGGGAGCGTCAGACAGACTCCCTCTTGTGCCACACAGACCTACAGGGAGAAAAAGGCCACCACTGGTCTGCCTGGGGAAGGCACCCACCACCCAAGGGTGCTTCAAGTCAGGCCCAGAGATTCCTGAGCCGGGGCTTCTCTCTAGACCTAGGCTAGAGACAAGGGGCTGCTGGGCTGGCTGCAGGAGACCTGGGCTGACATCCCTTCCCTCCTTACACAGAACAGAAGCATCTCCCGAAAGAGCCACACATTCCTGCCCAAGATCTTCTTTCGAAAGATGTCATCCTCCGGGGCCAAGGACAAGCCCGAGCTGCAGTTTCCCTTCCTTCAGGATGAGGATACGGTGGCCGCACTGCACGAGTGCAAGACGCTCTTCATCCTGCGAGGGCTGCCAGGGAGCGGCAAGTCCACGCTGTCCCGGGTCATTGTGGATAAATACCACGATGGCACCAAGATGGTGTCTGCCGATGCCTACAAGATCACGCCCGGCGCCCGAGGAGCCTTCTCCGAGGAGTACAAGCGGCTGGACGAGGACCTGGCTGCCTACTGCCGCCGAAACATCAGAGTGCTTGTGCTAGACGATACCAACCACGAGCCAGAGCGCCTGGAGCAGCTCTTTGAATTGGCCGACCAGTACCAGTACCAGGTGGTGCTGGTGGAGCCCAAGACGGCGTGGCGGCTGGACTGTACCCAGCTCAAAGAGAAGAACCAGTGGCAGCTGTCAGCCGATGATCTGAAGAAGCTGAAGCCTGGGCTGGAGAAGGACTTCCTGCCACTCTACTTCGGCTGGTTCCTGACCAGTAAGAGTTCTGAGATCCTCCGAAAAGTTGGCCAGGTCTTCCTGGAGGAGCTGGGGAACCACAAGGCCTTCAAGAAGGAGCTGCGACACTGTAGGTGGCATGGGGAACAGAGGCGGGGAGGCAGGGACGCTCAACTCCGCGCAGATCTCCTTGTTCATAAGCCCCCACTCAGAGGGCCGGGTGAGATGGGGAAGCTAGATGGACGCTGCCCTGGACCAGCCAGAAGCAAGTGGGCACTTAACAGAGTAGCTTCAGTGGGAACAGAAGTAGAACAGGGCAACCCCTCTTGGGTCCCCTGTTGCCCTGCAGGAGTTCTGTTTCTGTTCACACTTGAAAAAAATCCTATTCTTCAAGCACACACATACATCACACACACACACACACACACACACACACAAATAGTAGATGCAGGGTGAAAATTTTACGGTGGGAGGCACTGTCCAGAGCACCTTTCCTCTGTTTCCCCCAGTCCCTCTCTCCCAGCCTGGATCAGGTCACAGCCCCTGTCTTGGATGTAGGTTTTAACAGGAAATACCACCATGTAATGTAACCTGAGACAGAGAATCTGGTTCAGGGTTGTCAAATTCATTTTTAGCAGCAGAACCATGTTCCAAAACAAGATTTTACATGGAATCCTAAGCTGCAAAAAAAAATTATAACTAGGACTGTTATGACTTACCTGTCCACATCATCCAGGGTCACCTTGTGCACCCCGAACCTCTGTGACATCTTATGGCTCCAGAGAACCAAGTCTCACACCTAGTCCCAAATCCTTTGCTTTCCAGATGGAGGAGAAACAGGCCCAGAAGGGATATGGGATTTGTTACCTGGAGCCCTGGACCTTGGCCACGCCAGCAGGGTTCTGTCCTCGCAAGGGCTCTCAGGTCTAGTGATAGGGTAGGTTTGGGATAAGAAAGGGTCTAAGTGGGCCTCATTCTTCTGCAGTGGCCTACTAGGGCTGTGTCACCCCATAATCTATCTGTGACTTTAAACCAATTCTGATACAACCTTCGCCACAATTTTAGATCCTCTGTATACTTGAAATAACCTGTTTCTTTACTTAGCCCTTACTGCTCAGGGGTGAGTGCTCTGTGTCCGTGTTGGGTTCTCAAAGAACTTTTTTCTGGGCTCCTAAAGCTTGGATCCTGTCAGGAAACATGCCTGCACTAGCYCTGGCAAGAGTTGGCCTTGTTCCCTGGAGGAGCTTCAGGGAGAACCAGGAGAGGCAGGGCTGGGGTCCTGCTTGGGCATGGCTGTGGCTTGAAGCTGCTGGTACTATAAAAACTGGAATGCTTTTCTGTCCAGCATTTGGCAAGAGAAATGTCATGAGCAGGGAATAAGACCTGCTCTCAGAATAGAGGTCTTTACCCCCAAGGAGGGTGACAGTGCCCACAGGGATTAACCTCTGGGAACCAGCAGGCTAAAGGTCATGACTCTGAGGACAGCCCACAAAGCTTGGAGTCTGGAAATGAACTCACCCTTCGTGGTGTCTGCCAGCCATGTTATCCTGCTATACCCGGGGACCCTTCCTGCCCTAACCCCTTTGCAAGGTCTCCTCCCAAACAGCCCGCAGGGTGTGCTGTTATGGGCACCAAGTAACTGCTCTATAAGTGAGCCCCTGGGTGAAATGGGGTCCTACTGTTACTCAGTGGTCCTGAGGAAATTGGGGTGTATGGTGACCTTCATCGTTGGGGTGGACTGATAGAGGAGGGTCAACCTCTTGGCCCAGGCCCAGTGGCTCGCAGCGGCAGATGTTTGTGTCTACTCTGGCCCTCTCCAGTGTCTCGTAATGTTCCTGACCCTCTTTTTTCCCCACCTCATTTTTCATGGCTTTCCCCTGCTAGGCGTGCTGCTGGTGGATCTGCGTTCTTTGGCCTGTGCTGCTTTCCCTGAGTTTTAGATGCCTTATTTTGGGGGGAAGAGATGTAAAGTTCTGCGTGGTATAAAAAGAGGGGAATTTAAACACTGTTTTTCTTCTTGTGGTGCCAGGGGTCAAACCCAGGGCATTACTCATGTGGCGAGTGCTGTACCACTGAGCCACATCCCCAGCCCTTAAGTACTTTTTATAGCTCTAAAGTTGGCATGACTTTGACCAACTCAAGAATGAATGAATTGTAGTGGACTGTTAGAATTTATGCGGAATGGAGCTTGGTCCCCCGGGCCTCCCTGGTGGGTGTTGGTATGCTCTGCTGCCCTGACTACTCCCTCTCTGTCCGGCAGTTATCTCGGGGGATGAGCACAAAGAGAAGATCGATCTGATCACCTACTTTGGGAAGAGACCCCCTGGAGTGCTGCACTGCACAACCAAGTTCTGTCAATACGGAAAGGCCGCAGGGGCCGAGGACTACGGTCAGCAGGATGTGAGTTTTCCCCAGGGGRACAGGGCTGCAGTGTGACCAGGCAGGGAGTAGACCCAGACAGCAGCTAGAGAAAAATGGCCTCCCCTCCTTCAGTTCTCTGTTCCTAAGCTTAGTCTGTAGACCTCAGGTACCAGAGTTCTTAAGAGCTCGCCTGTGCATTTGTCCCTGAGGCCTACCCATGAATCTTTTCCTTCTGTGGATTCGTGGGGAACCCATGTTAAGTCCTAATGGCTGAGTCCTGTGTCCCAGGTAGCCTGGTGCACTGAGGCTCTTGTCTAGGTCTGAGGCCTGGCCTTGCCCCAGAGAGAATGGCTTAGCGTGGTGAAGTTCATTGGCTTAGTTCTAGATCCTTCACCACCACACAGATAGCACTGCACACCCACAGCCAGATACGGTGATCCTGAAACACCAGATGTGTCGCCCAGATCTGCACAACTTGGTTCCCCATTTCCTCTACTGTCATCCTCTCTGCCAAACCTTCCCTGATCCCTGTTCTTCTCCCGCTTCTGTGCCCAGACTAACATAACTATTTTATATGTTTGCTTTCTGGTGCCCTCTTATTCAGATGGCAGCTGGGGCCAGGAGTTCTTAATTTTGTTCACCCCTGTTTCCAGAACTCTAGCATAGTTAACTGAATAGCATAGAGTGACTGAATATATAAGTTATCACTACCGTATCTAATCATTTGTTCATTCAGCCTTATTTATTAAGCACTTATTACGTGCCAGACAATGTTGGAACAGAGGCTTGTGAGCAAACTAGATTTTATGGTCAGGTCAGATGGACGAAATGAAGTTTCTTAAAGAAATCAGATATACTCTGATGTATAGCGGGTGGAAACCACAGTACACAGAGCAGATTTTGATCACTGCCCCATGGTGTAGCCTAAGCCTAGACTGAGGCGAATTGGAAGAGCAATGGCACGTTCTGTGCACCTGGACCCTGGCTCTGCACCTGGTCACTCCTTTAGTCCTCACATTAACCCTGAGGTGTCTTCTAGTATTATGTGGTTTACAGGTGGATAAACCGAGAGGCTCAACAGCTCTCTCAAAGCCCTGAAACTGGTGAGCAGGGACAAGGTCTGCATACCAGTCTGGTTCTACCCCTGCTCTCCTGCCTCTGAGCACCTTGTGGTTGTCAGCCTGCACCCTGCTTGCCACACGCTGCAGCTGCACACATCTGTGGCAGATATGTAGCCCTCTACCCGCTGTGATCACATCTGCTAAGCTGACCTTTCCTCCAGGAGTAACCCACCCTTGGTCAGCTGTCCCTCTAGCTTGGGCTCCTCTTTCTCACTCTCCTTAGGTGGTGAAGAAATCTTACGGCAAGGCCTTCACATTAACCATCTCTGCCCTCTTTGTGACACCCAAGACGGCTGGGGCCCGGGTGGAGTTGAGCGAGCAGGAGCTGCTGTTGTGGCCAGATGACGTGGACAAGCTGTCCTCTGACAACCTGCCCCGGGGGAGCCGCGCTCATATCACCCTTGGCTGTGCGGCCGATGTGGAGGCCGTGCAGACCGGCATTGACCTCTTAGAGATTGTACGGCAGGAGAAGGGGGGCAGCCGTGGTGAGGAGGTGGGTGACCTTACCCGGGGCAAGCTCTACTCCTTGGGCAGTGGGCGCTGGATGCTAAGTCTGGCCAAGAAGATGGAGGTCAAGACCATCTTCACAGGATACTACGGGAAGGGTAAACCTGTGYCCACTCACGGCAGCCGGAAGGGGGGCGCCTTGCAGTCCTGCATCATCATCTGAGGGTTTGTGCCACAGTGTGCTCCTCACTCTTTAGAAGGGAGGGGGAGGAGAGGGCTACATGTGCTCCATGTGGTAAGATTTTTTTTTTTTTTTACTCAAAGTTAACTTACATATAACTTTTTAAAAAACTTGTAAAATAACTGCCTCTCCCTTGCTGTCTGCCCTCTTCCCCTCTAACACACCAAGTCTCAACACAAGGTGGGTGGATTGACCCCATTCAGGAATCTGGATCAAAGCTGATAAGGCTGTGCTGCTGGGCCAGTCAGAACCCCACCTTGCCCCACCTCCAGGAACTGGCCAGCCCTGCCCCCAGCCCAGGCCCTGCTAAGGACCAAAGACAGTGGGGCTGGAGTCTGGGGCCCATTGCCACAGGAGGAGGATCCCCRGGCTTTTTTCTTTTTTTCTTTTAATAAAAGCAAGTGAACAGGAATTTTATTTAAAAGGTGGCTCAGAACTCGCAGCACAGCACCTGGGAGGCATAAGAGTGCCCTGGGCCCCTGGGTTTTGATCCCATTTCTTAATCACTGTAACCCCTGGGATTATTTGCCAGGGTAGAAAAAGGGGTTTACCTCCCACCTTTGGTCCTAAGTCCCTGTCTCCTTTATCCTATAACTAGGTAACAGTTTGATAACTGATTCAGCAGCAGCTGCCACCTCCCAGTCCCACCCCAGGAAGGGGTTGAGTTGGCTGTCCTTCCCAGTGGTGTGGCTCTGCTGCATAGCCAAGGAGATAGATAGAGGCCAGAGACACAGCAGGGGAGAGCTCCAGCCTTGCTGGGCTCAGTCCACCTTGCCTCCCTGGTGCCTCTGGAGGCCTTTGAGCCTTCTCTAAAGGAGGCTACTGGGTACCAAGAGCCAATGGAGGGGACCTCTAGTTGGCCAGGCAAACCCCACCTGCTGCCTCTGAGGGGTTTTAACACTGCTCCATGGGTTCTGGTTCCTGGAGTGCCTTCACTGCCCTCTGCTCAATAACAGGACCTTGCTAATCAGGTTGTCACTCAACAGAGTATTTTGGATTTAAGTTACTATCTGGGTTTTGCCCAGCCTCGTCAACTTGTAAGACTGATAATGAAATAAATCATGTTAATCCTAGCTGTGTGCAGTCTCTCTCACCCTTCTATGCCCAGCTCAGTCTTTCCTGCATCCAGGGCTGGGTATATTAGGACTGGCTTTGTCCCACAGCTTGGGGCCATCGGTCCTGTCTCCTCGCTGCTGGCTGGGCACAGCTGTGGTAAGGCTGGGCAACTGAACAGTGTTGGCTTTCATGAGGAGGCAGAAAGGAGAGAGGCTGGCCTCAGACTCATACAGAACGTGGGGGTTGACCAGGAGAGATGTGGAGCACAAAACCTCTTGTCCTCCATTAACTAGGGCATCAGGCCCACAGGTGTCCCAAGACCAGTCTGATCAGATCTCTCTGCAAGAGCCAATGTTCCTAGTATGGGTTTTCCCCAGTTCTCTAGTAGAGTCTACCTTCAAGTCACTGCTACTTTAAAACACAAAGGATGATTTAACACTCAGTAGTCTCCTACAGCTTAGTTTATGGGAAACTTCCCAGGCCTAACTCAGCCATCACTTCACTACTGCCCCATGCACCAAAGGGGGTAAAGGCAGAGCTTAGAAAAGAAATMAAGTCTTTTCTCTGGCTCAAGGCCTCTCCCTGGCCATTGAGATTATCAGAGCACCAAAAACAAGCTTCAGTCAAGCCTCTCGTGTTTGCCCAGAACTCCTGAGGCTTCTCACCTCAACAGGAAGCTGGACTGAACAGTGCAACACATACTGCTGCTTCTCCTCAGCCTGTGTTCACACCAGAAAGGGGACCAATGCAGAAGGCCAAGGGCAGTTAAGAATAGTATTTCCAACCATGTGAGTCTAATGCCAGAGATGAGGCCTGGGAGTTGCCTGACCCACATGAGTCTGGAGGTTAGGAGGCAGGTTTTATTCTCATCTCCATGTCTAAGAAGAACTGAGAGCGCCTGTGTGAATCACATGACCCAGGTTAACACCACCTACACTCCTGTGTTCTAGACACAGCTTCTAGTGACTACTGGCCGTCTCATTATAAGATGAACATGCATTCTGAACTCAGTTCCCCATAACCACCACTAGGCAGAACCCAGCAGCACCATCTGCTACCAGGCTTGGGTAGCTTGCAGGACCTCAAGTCTGTGTCAAGGTCAGTTCCAGGCTGGTGGCTCAGCTATGGCCCATAGGCTGTGGAGGGACATAAAGCAGCTGCCAAAGCAAAGGGCCAGAAAGGGTCAAAACATTTTATTTTATTCTTTTTTTTTTTCCTTTTTTAATAAAGTTAAACAGTACAACAAAAATTCACAAGCCGCCTCCCTGTCCACCCCCCACCTCCCTCCCCTCCCCAGTCTTGGGCGCTGGCTCCCTTTCCTTCACCACACTCACAGACACAGGCATCCAACTGAGAAAACGAAACTGCTCTAAGTACACAGAGACATGATGAAGGAAGGAGGTGAATTGTGTCCACATTCGAGGTTGAACTGAGTGAGTCTGCATTTTCTGGGATCTGGTGGTTGCCCTTCATTAGCCAAACTGAAAGAAGAAATTCCCTGGACCAGAGGCTGAAAGGGAAAAGAAGGGCTTCTTAGTTGGCTCTGTGGACTTTCTAGGGAAGATCACTTCTCTGATAATGGAAAAAGTCTTCAAGGGTTGCTTCAAACTCAAACAAAGAAACTAAGAATTTAAAATTGCCCAGCCCCAGGGTGCCAGAGGAACATGTGAGTGCATTTTCTTTATTTACATGCAGTGCTGGGGATGGAATCCAGGGCCTCACCACCAATGCCAGGCAAATGCCCTGCCACTGAGTCACACCCCATTTGTGAGCCCATTTTATGTATATAGCTTCTGAACACCTCTACTCTTGCAGTGAAGCCTTGGTAGAAGGCAACTTCCTCTCTGATCCTGCAGAGATGTGTTGCTAATAGTCCCAAGGAAAGATGTGTCTGAGAACCAATCTCTCTCCCTCAGCAACACCTGTGTGGACAGACGTCCTGCAGGATTCAATTGCCCCCACTCTTGGGCACCTCTGATCCAAAGAGCTGCCTAATTGCTGGCTTGTAAACTGGGAACTTCTGAGGGCAGCAGGCATACCCACCTTCAAAGCTGAAGCCCCCAGGACCTCCAAAGAATGCCTTGAAGATATTGTTTGCATCAAAATCTGGCAAGAAACATAGAAGGGACAAAATGGGGAAAAATTAGAAGGATCTGAAAAGGAACTTATGACCCTGAGCACAGGTCTCCAAGTCATACTTTTAAAGTATCATTTCCTTCCTTTCCCAACACCTCAGCCTAAAGATTGGCAAATCTGCCCACCCCATGCAAAACAGTGCCTGCTCTTGCTCCAAGGACATGTTCCCATCCCCTTCCAAGAGAGATCCGGAGGGAAAGCTTTCTCTGCTTCAACCCACTCCACAGGCAGTCTCCTTGAGCAACTTAAGATGCCATTTGCACTTAACACAGCCCCCTACAATGTTAGGGCTGCTACTGAAAGGGCTAAAATTTATCATTTCAATGCTATCCAAATAAATTTAAGAGCAAGATCTGTGACACCCTCCTCTATACCGGGTGTCCTGGCTCAGTGAATGGTCCCGAATCGTCTATAGCAAAATCACTCAATTTACATCCTTTCCATCTCCCAAACACAGCTGATCAGCAACCAACTCCTGCTGAGTCTGCCACCATCTGCCATTTGTGCTCTCCATACCTTTACTACTTACACTACTTCCATGTCTTCCTTCAATCTCTATCCTCCTTCACCTCCCTCCTCACTATCACCACATGTAAATTTCTAAAGCCTAAATCTAGCCCACAGTACTTCTAATTAAAACCTTTCAATAGCTTTTTTTTTTAAGTTGTCAATGTATCTTTATTTATATGCTGTGCTAAGAATCAAACCCAGTGCCTCACGCATGCTAGGCAAGTGCTCTACCACTGAGCCACAATCCCAGCCCTACTTCAATGGCTGTCTTTTTTTAAAAAAAAATATTTATTTTTTAGTTGTAGTTGGACACAATACATTTTATTTAATTATTTATTTTTAATGTGGTACTGAGGATCGATCCCAGGGCTTGCACATGCAAGGCGAGTGCTCTACTGCTGAGCCACAACCCCACCACTTCAATAGCTTTTGACTGCTTAGATCCTTTCAACTTCAGGGCAGAGCAACATGTTTATTACTGGTAAACAGCAACACACGCACACTCCAACCTTGACTTGAGAGGATTCAGGATTATCTACATAGCATCATCATTCTCATTTTAAATTATAATAGACTTTCTTTTTTATTTATTTTTTTAGTTCTCGGCAGATACAACATCTTTGTTTGCATGTGGTGCTGAGGATCGAACCCGGGCCGCATGYGTGCCATGCGAGTGCACTACCGCTTGAGCCACATCCCCAGGCCTATAATAGACTTTCTTATTTGAAGACAAAGGGTTGGTAGCACAGAAGGTGGTCTGTGTGCTATGGGCAGTTCAGGACCACTGTTATCTCTGATCAAGCCCTTCAGTCACACTGACAAAAGCTGTACTTTTCTTCATGCTAAGTCTTTTTTTGGGAATTAAGATCTCTGAGGGTTTACAGGAATGTATGACACACACAAATAACAGCACATACTTTGCAGTGGGGTGGGGGGGAGATAACATTCGGCTATTCCTTACTGCATATAACCCTTGTAGCCTTCTGAGATCTGATCCAGCTACTTGCTGCTCTTACACTCACTGCCTGCCTCTAGCACCCTATCCTTACATCCTCCAGACCAAGCCTCTTACAGATCCCTGAAGGGGTCACTTTCTCTACTTCCAAGCCTTTCCTTGATAGTGCTCACCACCCCCTTAGAGCCCACCCTGCACCCTGTGAACTGCTGTACTTGATTGCTTTTGTTTGAGTCTATGTTTATTATTCTGCTTAGACTAAGGATCAGATTAGGCCCAGGATCCATCCATTTGTGACCTCCTAGACAGTGGGTTCCTAGACATTAGAGAACCAACCTAATTCATCTGCAGGGCTCAACACAGTGCCTGAAACACAGGTACTCATCAAGGGAAGGCTGACAAATTACTGTGTTGTCATGAACTGATTACATATAGACTCTCCCTCTGGAGCATCTTTAGAAAGCTGTCAAAGTTCCATAGGTGTTAGATGCATCCCAGATGCCCCAATCAACTCACCACCCATATTCATGCCCTCTTCATCCAGGTCCTGTCCACTGTCATAACGAGTTTTTTTCTTGGGATCAGAGAGGATGGTAAAGGCCTCTCCAACTTCCTTGAATTTCTTCTCCTCTTCTTTCTGAACCTCGGCACTGGCTCCACTGTGCCGATCTAAAAGGAACAAAACTCAGATGAAATTAAAGTCTCAAGAAAACAAAGTTTAAAAGAAAAGACCACTTCATCATTTCTGATTTTGGACTCTGGTTCTGGAACCCCCTTATTCCTACTCAAGACGCTCTCAAGGTGCCCCCAGGACGGAGCAAGGTTGTGTGCCTGCCTGTAGGGTTCTTCCCAGCATGCCCCTCTCCCACAAGCTCTAACCTGGATGGTGCATCAAGGCCCGTTTCCGATATGCTTTCTTGATCTCATCCTCAGAGGCATTCTTGTCCACTCCCAGAATCTTGTAGTAATCTTTCCTCTTACTCTTCTTCAGTTCCAGTTGTGCATTTTTTAGGAGCTGTTTGTGTTCTGAAGGGAGACATGTGGCATCAATAGACAAATGTGATTCTGGTTTCCCTTTCCAGGTCCCAGCCCAGCTGCCTTGGAAATAGAAGACTTAATTATACCAGGGGTTTTAGGATGTTTTCTTTTTGGAAACTAAGAAAAATCTCAAACTGGGCTGGGGTAGTGGCTCAGTGGTAGAGTGCTCGCCCAGCATGCACGAGGCACTGGGTTCGATCCTCAGCACACATAAATGTAAAATAAAGATATTGTGTCCACCTAAAACTAATAAATAAATATTAAAAAAAAGAAAAAGAAAAATCTTAAACTTAGGTTCCTCACAATAGCTTCACCACACAGAAAAAGAAGTGAAAGTAACAAGGAAGGGTTGGGACCAAAACATAGGTGCCCAAGCCCCCAACCAGGAAGGACCTCTGTTCACTTCCTTCTGGTGGAGGTTAAAATAAGCTCCACATACACCCCTGAGGCAGGAATCAAACAGCCTTGTGTCTATGTTTTAGGGCCTATAAATAAGACCACATAGTTGACAAAGAAACAAATGCTCTGTACCAGGTTACCTTTTGTTTTCTCCGTCTGATACACTTTTTCATAGTCCCGCACTGCTTCTTCATACTGCTCTGTGTCCATGTAACTGAGAAGGAAGTACAGGGCAATAGTGYTCAGACATAGATAGCAATGGTCTCTAGGGGAAAAGGCATGGCTCAAGCAAGAGACACACACTTTGGCAAGATACTTCATGAAACAGAGTCCTTAATCTAAAAAAAAAAAAAAAAAAAATTTAGCTATCAGTTCCTCAGAGAAAAAAATGAGGCCTCATGGCACTTGCACCCAACCAGCAAAGTGATGYTCTGCTCTGAGTGGACAGTAATCAAGGGGAAAAGGTCCTCATGACACAGAGCCACCCAAGACGCAGAAGGACTGCTGTAGGAAAGGCAAGGAGAAGGCCCAGTTGATTACTCAGAGCTAAAACACACATGAGAAAGAATCTAAGTGAGGAAAAAAAGAATATGAAAGAGCTTTGAAATCTTCGTGCCATAAACATGCAGGGCTAGCTCTGATCCAGGGCAGAAGTGGGATTAGTGAGCCTCTAGTAGGATCAAGTCCAAGGTGATAGCTGCTGGCAAATGCTTCCATAACACCAGTCAATCTGAGAGATGGAAGTCAAGTGACAGAAAAGGAAACTCTAAACACAAGTTTGCTTCTACTTCAATAGCAAACAAGAAAAGAAGGGCCTCCGGGCCTCGATGGGAAGAATCTAACTTAATAGGCAGACTGCCAGCTCTTTTATCTTTTTCATGGAAGCAAGTGGCATTTTCCATGTCCTGATAAGGTCACCAGCACCAAGACTCGCCTCTCAATCTAACAGACTGTGGCAGTTGTTCCAGAGACACACCAGCAGCTGGGCAATGGGAAGAAATCATGCAGTGCAATTTGTGCTGCTCAACAAGAGACATGTACTACTACTACCCAAGCACATCTTGCAATCACGGGAGACCTCCACTCGCCTTGGAGGCCAGGGCAGGGAACCTCATAACAACATGGCTGGCCAAAAGAGCTCAACATCTCAGGCATCTCTGATTTTCAGGAAACATCTTGATTCAAGACCTTAAAAAACCAAAGCCATGCTAAGTATGTTGGCACACACCAATGATCTCAGTTACTCAGGAGACTAAAACCCTAAGCAACTTAGTGTGCTCCTGTCTCAAAATAAAAAATAAAAAGGGCTGAGGATATACCTCAGTGGCAGAGCACTCTGGATTCAATCCTCATTCCTGCATACAAACAATCAAAAACAACAAACGCCCAATGATTGGCGAAAACGGTATAAATGCTACTTAAAGAGCTCAGAGAARTAATTTGCAGAATGAAGTGTAATATAATTTGAAATAAAAGTAAAAGAAAACCGAGAACTGACACAGTCTTGGGTGTAGAGTACTCTGACAAATAAGTAACCCTGATGACTTTTTAGGCCCAGACATAACATATTGAACAGTCATACTACAGAGATTTACATTTTATGTCACACTTTTTAAAATTCAATAATAACCTCATATTTAAAGTTTTTTAAATGTGGGAAAAAAGTAGAAAAGTAAATAAGCCTTTAGTGGAAAAGAGAGAACTCTCACTTATGATCAGGTATGYAGCAAACATCTAGCATCTCCCCAATTTAAGGGTAAATTGAGACAGAATGGGATAATGGTTAGGCCTCTGGTAAAGTTTTAGCCTGAGCTAATTTTAGTTATGTCCAAACAATCCCAGCTGATTGAGGGGTTTGCTGTCAAGTAGTAACTATGCCAATAGTGCATGCTCTCCCCATGGTAAAATCTCAAAGGCAAAGCCACTCCAAGGACAGTTCTACCACAAAGATAAGGAGCTATCTGATCAAAGTGATACCGGATTTCTTATTATTGAATGTATACATACAAAAAAGAAAATAATCCTTCATTTCATTCTCTAACAAATCAAGAATTCACCGCTCTCCTTCCATTCCCTATTCAAACACTGTAAAGCACTACCTTGGGTCAATACAGAGTCAACTATCCAGCCAACCCCTTCCCACTAGATATTCTCCTTTTCTTTTTCACTATTTTACATTAAAATGCAGTGAACAACTTCCTGTATAAAGTATTTTGTGTCTGTTAAAACAACTCTTTTGTTGGGTCAAAGGGCACTTTTTGTCTTCCAAAGCTTCTGCTTTTGTCTGCCACCAAAATGCAGAAGATGCAATGAGGGCTGGTTTTTATAGTCTCTAAGTCCATGGAATTAGATTTTTGGATTTAGTCATCCACTTAAAAATTCATTAACCTCCCCCCCACACACACACACACAAATGGCATCAGTTTTCTTATTTTAAGTGCAGCAATTTTGGGAAAATGAAAGGGAGGTAGTCTGCAAGGCATCCTGTACCAGTGACGACAAGGGGAAGTTAAAATAGTGACTCATGAGGCATCACAACAGCACCTGTTCTTTGGATCTGACAGTTTATAATAAGGAATGGAGTAGGTGTTGGAAGACTGGCATAAAACAAATATGTCTCCCTTTAGACTCTTTAAAGACATAAATTCTTCTCTGCTTAGGGAATAATATGATGCAAGAAGAAATGATTTTATTTATTTATTTGGTCCTGGGGATTGAACCCAGGGGCACTTAACCACTGAGCGACACCCCCAGTTCTTTTTACTTTTTGAGACAGGGTCTCGCTAAGTTGCTGAAGTTGGCCTTGAACGTATGATCCTCTTGCCTCAGCCTCCCAAGTTGCTGGGATTAACAGGCATGTACCACCATACCCAGCCAGAAGAAATAATTTCTGAGAGGTCCATCCTAGCCTCTGGTGGGTTCATAAAAAGATGCAGAAGAAAGCCGGAAAGCACCCAGCCTCTGGGACAAATGAGGGCACTGGACCTGGCAGGCATAATCTAGGTTCATAAGTCACCTTGTCAGGGAGTCCTCTCTGCTTAAAACACCCAGCAGACTACCCATTCAAGGATATTTCAAAAGGAGGTTCCTTATACTGCTGAGAGACTGAGCCAGATTAAGCCCCTTTCAACCCTAAGATTGTTTTCCCTCAACCAGAACAAACAGGGTAAATACAATCTTCAACTGTCTGAGATACTTTTATTCCTCTCTTCCAAGCACCACACATTCATTTCAACAAAAAACATTTAATGGGTGAGCACCTATGTGCCAAGCACTGTGCTAAGTTAGAGCAAAAGTGTACAATACAAAATAAACTCTCCAAAGGAAATGGATTTAAACTTTTAACAAAAAGGAATTTGGGTCAGGCATCAGAAGAAACTTACTGACCGTGAGGGGCGTTAGACACAGGCATGGGAGACTGAGGGAGCTTGTGCAATCTCCTCCGCTGGAGGTCTATAAAGATAGTCTAGGGCTGGAACAATCCCACCTAGAGGCAGGGGGAAGGACCAAATGACCTCACAACATCCCCGGGTCTGCTTCATCATCCACAATGCAGTGCCCCTGGTAGGCCAGTGGCAACTCCCTCTTCCCCCACCCTCCAGAGGCACTTACCACTGAGCTCTTCTCAAGTAGGCTTTTATATATGTGTCATCGAGCTTCACTGCATGTGTGCAGTCTTCTATTGCATCATCTAGTTTCCTAAGCTTCAGGAGAGAGAGAGCAGTCATACTTCACATCTTTGGTGACCAAGGGAGCCCAAAAGCTGTGAGCATGGCTTAAAAATTCTAAGAGGGCAACTCAATGCCGGACCCCTAACTGTCACACTAGGTTTTGTTTGTGAATAAGTATTCTTGGTCACTGAAAAAGCCATTATCTCAGAAGGCTAAGGATACCAAATTTGGAATTGGTTTCAATACTATGTGATGCAAACCAAGTATTTATCTGAAATGATAAACCACTTCTACCACTCCACATCAGTATCCAACCAAACATGGAAAACAGGAGGGATGGTTCCTGCCCTCTACTTTTTCAGAGGCCAATAGAAAAAAGAAGGAATGACTGTGGTTTTGTTTTTGTTGTTGTTGTTGTTGTTTTGGTGGTACTGGGGATAGAACCCAGGGCACTGAGTTACATCCCCAGCCCCTCCTTTTTTTGATATTGGAGATTGAACCCAGAGGTGTTTAATCACTGAGTTATATTCCCAACCAGTTTTACTTTTTGAGACAGGGTCTTGRTAAGTTGCTTAGGGTCTCACTAAATTGCTCAGGCTGGCTTTGAACTTGGAATCCTCCTGCCTCAGCCTCCTGTATCACTGAGATTATAGGCGTATGCCATGCCACTGCACCCAGCTATGACTACAGTTTAAATTTTTTTTTTAAGTTATCAATGGATATCTATCTATCTATCTATCTATCTATCTATGGTGCTGGGAATCAAACCTAGTGCCTCACATGCCAGGGAAGTGCTCTACCTCTGAGCCACAACCCCATCCTCCTATGACTGCAATTTTAAACTACTAGAAGTCTGCCAAGAGCAAGACGCCTACTTATGCTGTAAAGGGTCTCAGGAATACTCAGGTCATTTTCAATCATACATGGTTACCAGAGTCACAGTAGAGGAAAAATCTACTTCTTCATATTCCCATTTCCTCCAAATCACTCCCCMAAAAATAAATGATCTCTTGCTTAAGCAAAAAGAAGCAGTAATACTTGCTTAAAATTATCCCAAACCCCTAGCCATTCTCTTCCTGAAGGAAAGATACCTTGAGAAAGAACAGGTGGGAATATCCTCCCAAACTGTTTTTAAAGTACCTCTAAACTCGGAATATCCTCCCAAACTGTTTTTAAAGTACCTCTAAACTCGACAGAAAAGATAAAAGCTTGCCTTTCAGAAGATAGATCCTAACAAGCTGAGATACTTTTCCAAAACATCCTTCCCTCTTTTAGCTGGTTTACCCTTATTGGGCAGATTTCCTAAGATCTCTTTGATRTCCCTTAAAAATATCTCCAGGGGCTGGGGTTGTGGCTCAGTGGTAGAGTGCTTGCCTAGCATGTGCGAGGCCCTGAGTTCGATCCTCAGCACCACATATAAATAAATAAGAAATAAAGGTATTATGCCCAACTACAACTAAAAAATAAATATTTATATATATCTTCATATGTCCCAAGACCTAGACCAAGTACTTACCTTGGAATTAACCGTACCCCGATTACAGTAGAGTTTAGCATTTGTTTTTATATTGTTGGGGTCTATCCCGAGGGCTTCTGTGTACAGTTCATATGCTAGCTTGTAATTTCCTTCCTTAAATGCTTTATTTCCATCTTCTTTCTTTGCTTTGAGTGCTTTCGCATTCTAGAGATGAACAAGGCGAGGTCAGTTCACAGCCAGAAAACCTCTGATCACTGCACAGTGAGGACAGAATCTAGTCTCAATTTCTGGATCCCAGGGTTTAGCATCCCACAACAGCCTCTACGGCTACCGCTTGGACTACTTGTTCACTGGTGCTTCCAGTACAGTGCACAGGGTAAACCAAGATTTGAAAAACACCACTAGTGAGAACTGTTGCCCAGGTTTAAATTTCCCAGAGTAAGAGTTACTAATTAAAAAAAAAAAAAAAAAAAAATTATTTTTTCAAGGGGAACCGGGGATTGAACCCAGGGGCACTCAACCATTGAGCCACATCCCTAGCCCTATACTATATTTTATTTAGACACAAGGTCTCACTGAGTTGCTTAGTGCCTCACTTTTTGCTGAGGCTGACTTTGAACTCATGATCCTCCTGCCTCGGCTTCCTGAGCCACTGGGATTACAGGCATGCGCCACCAYGCCTGCCAAGAATTACTAACTTCTTTACTAAGGAGAAAAGGAACAAAACAAAACTAAACTTAGATGTTAAAAGGATCTGACCCATATAATCAAACTTACCTTTAAGTAAATAAAAGTAGTCCTGAAATAATTTCTATGAAAAGATCAAGCATCGTTATAAAGCAGTAAAGAGGGGCTATCACATTCCTTGTGATTTAAACATGTACTCCAACCATCTAAAAAGTGAAAGGAAGTTTTCTTTCCCATCCAGATTAGCATGCCTAGAACTTACTCTGCAAGCAACGCAAGCCTTCTCATGGTCAGGAGCCATCCTGAGAGCCTGTACAAAAAACTGAACCGCCTTCTCAATACAATCTTCATAATAAAGGCAAAGACCCCGTACATACAGAGCATCTGCATTGGTGGAATCCATTCGTAAAATGTCACTGCAAAAGCCAGAAAGAGTCACGTTTAGCTGTGGTTTGGAATATTCTGACCATTTACTACAATTTGTGGCCATTTTTTTCCTTATCACATATCTATTATTAAACGTATTAAAATGTAAAGCTGTTATTATTGAACTGGAAATATTTTTTATATTTATATTTTGTAGTTGGACACAATAACTTTATTCTATTTATTTATTTATTTGGTGCTGAGGATCAAACACAGGGCCTTGCACATGCGAGGCGAGCGCTCTACCACTGAGCTACAACCCCAGCCCTTGAACTGGAAATATTTTAATGTAAGGAACAAAGTCTGGTGGTCCATTTTCAAAATAGAGTATTCAGCCTTAAGTGGATTCAATTGTAGCCATTTTAATTATAGTCCTCCCCTCTGCCTGCCCTAATTTTAAAATTAGCCAATCGTGTAGACTGTATCCCTGAGACCTCCAATCAGGATGAAGAGCAGCCCTGTATTAGGTATATAAATAGGTGGACTGCCCACCCAGGCTTGCTTGCTAGCTAGATTCTATAGCACTCCATTCTGTCAGAAGTAAGTTTGCCTTGCGCGCGCGCACACACACACACACACACACACACACACAAAAAAAAAACTTTTTAAAATGTAGTCAAGATTCCCAAGAACTCTCCCCAAATCTTGCCAAATAGACCACCATATTCTTTTTTTTTTGGGGGGGTGGGTGCCAGAGATTGAATCCAGGGGTGCTCAATCAACACTGAGCCACATCCCCAGCCCTTTTTTAATATTTTATTTAGAGACAGGGTCTCACTGAGTTGCTTCGGGCCTTGCTAAGCTGCTGACTTTGAACTCATGATCCCCTTGTCTCAGCCTTCCAAATTACAGGTGTGCCACCACACCCAGTTTATATTCATCTTTAATACAACTCTCACACTTTTTTTTTTTTTGGTGGTGCTGGGATTAAATCGTAAGTCTTGCACACAATGGGCAAACACTACCACTGAGCTACATCCCAGACCAACGCATTTCTTTTCTTTTTTTTTCTGGGATACTGGGGACTAAACTCAGGGGTATTTAACCACTGAGCTACATCCCCAGCCCTTTTTATTTTGAGACAAATTCTCACTGAATTGCTTAGGGCTTCATTAAATTGCTGAGGCTGGCCTCAAACTTGCAATCCTTCTATCTTAGCCTCCAGAATCGTTGGTATTATAGGCATGCMCTACTGTGCCCAGCATCAATGCATTTCTGTCTCACAATTCTTTTTAAACTAGAACAGGGGTTAGCAAACTAAAGACGACAGAGGGCAAATCCTTTCTACCACTGTGTTCTTTTCCTGCTTCTCCTTTTTTTGTAATGGGGATTAAACCCAGGGCCTTGTGCACGCCAAGAAAAACCTGTGTTCTACATACCCCAGCCCCACTGCCACTGGCTTTTTTTGGTGTGTGTGTGATGCTGGGGATTTAACCCAGGACCTTGTGCATGCAAAGCAAGCAGTCTACCAGATGAGCTACATCCCCAGCCCCTTGACTTTTTTTTTTTAATTGTCAAGAAAAATTACTTAAAAAATAAAGAGATTAAAGAGTTGGGTTTTAGGGCTGGGGATGTGGCTCAAGCGGTAGCGCGCTCGCCTGGCATGCGTGTGGCCCAGGTTCCATCCTCAGCACCACATACAAATAAAGATGTTTTGTCTGCCGAAAACTAAAAAATAAATTAAAAAAAAAGAGTTGGGTTTTAGGACTGGGGTTGTGGTTCAGCGGTAGAGCAGTAGCCTGGAAACGTTTGAGGCCCTGAGTTCAATCCTCAGCCCCACAAATAAATAAAGTAGAAAACCCACTGGTAACTAAAAAATAAAAATAGTTGGGTTTTATGTCCTTTCAGTGCCACTGACTTTTGTAAATAAAATATTACTGGAACATAGCTGTACCTATTCATGCATGTATTATCTATGGCTGCTTTTGTACTACGATAGATGAGTCCTTTCAGAGACCTTATGGCCTGCAAAGACAAATATTCACTATCTGGCCTTTATAGAGTTTGCCAACCCCTGGAGTAGAAGGAAAAGGATTATGTTAAAACAAAGCAAACCCGGGGCTGGGGATGTGGCTCAAGCAGTAGTGTGCTCTCCTGGCATGCGTGCGGCCTGGGTTCAATCCTCAGCACCACATACAAACAAAGATGTTGTGTCCGCCGAAAAACTAAAAAATAAATATTAAAATTCTCTCTCTTTCTCTAAAAAAAAAAAAAAAAAAAAAGATAACCTGACTTAAAAAAACAACAACAAAGCAAACCCCAAAATTCACATAATACAATCTGTTCTTTCACATACCCAGCTCAAATACCTGTTATACTACTATATCCTATATACTTTATGGATTTTCTAATTTGGTCTAATCTTTGGCTTTATGCACTAGGAAGGTCTGATCAGCCCTAGCTGGCATACCCACAATTCCTGTTATAAAGAGCAACCAGCCAACATCAGTTCAGTAGTATCTGGCAGCTCAATTCTGAAATGGCCTCACTGCATACCTGGCTACAGACTGTGCTTCTGGATATCGACCCAGCATTGCTAAACATTCTGCTTTGAGGATTTTGAAGCGATGGCAAGCAGGGGCAAATTCTAGGGCACGGTCCATGCAGAAAACAACCTATAGGGAAGAAGAAAGTAAATGAGGCCCTTCATCTTAGACTCTAGAAATGTCTTTAACTTTATAGTTTAATCACAGCAACATATTAAAAGCTCAAAGAAGTTCCCAGGATCCACTGTTGAGCAAAAAAGTAATATCAAAGTTTATTTATTTTTCTTTTGTGATGCTGGAGACTGAACCCACATTTGCTTGGCAAGCACTCTACCACTAAGCTACACCCCTAGCCAGCTTGAAGTTTAAAAACATACCTAATTCATTCAATCAAAGTATTGAAAAGAGGAGAGCAGTTAATAGCTCTCATTTAATGTCAATAGCAAACATTTACTGAGCACTTTACATATTAACCCGTTTTATCCTTACAATTTTTTGGGGGGGAGGGTATTGGGGATTGAACCTAGAGGTGCTTTACTACTGGGCAAATCCCMAACCCTATTTTGTTTTATATTTTGAGACAGGGTCCCACAAAATTGCTTAGGGCATTGCTAAATTGCTGAGGCTGGTCTCAAATTTGTGATCTTCCTCCTCAGCCTCCCAAGTCACTGGGATTATAAGCATGCGCCACCACTCCTGGCTCCTCATAATTTTATAAAGTAAGTTAGTATCATAATCTTTAATGGTAAGACAGTTAAGAAACAGAGAGCTAATGTTCAAGGTTACCAAAGCTAGTAGATGATTATAAATAGGAGTCAGTTTTAAAGATATCCTAGGACTCCAGAATCTATAGCCTTACTCACTATGCTAAGCTGCCTCCAGTGAATCCAAACCCAAAGTGACTTTGATCAAAAGCCACCTTTTCCTCACAAATATAATTATTTACTACTTTGTATAATTCATCAGGCTTAGCCTATCAACCACAAAACAAGGAACAGCAATAATAATCCAGCTGGAGACTGTGGCTCACACCTGTAATCCTAGTGATCAGGGAGGCTAAGGTAGGAGGATCACAAGTTTGAGGCCAGGCTCAGCAATTTAGTGAATCCCCAAAACTTTTCAAGGACCCAAGCAACTTAGTGAGACCCTTTCTCAAAATAAAAAAAGGCTGGGGATGAAGCTCAATGGTAGTGTTTGCCTAGCATGTTTGAGGTCCTGGGTTCAATCTCCAGTCTTTCTCTCTCTCTCTCTCTCTCTCTCTCTCTCTCTCACACACACACACACACACACACACACACACACACACACACACAATTAAGCTGGGATTAATTTATTCTCCCAGCCTCATAAAGGGTCTCAATATATTCCTCTTTTCTGTTTTTAGAAGTTTGTTCTCTTAGCTTTCATTTTTGGCATAGCTGCTATTTCTGGAAGATTCTCCCTGAGAAAAATTGACTCAAAGAAGAATTTTAGAATTAAGGGATTCCCATTCCCTCCAAGAACTTGATTATACCCATTAAGATAGATGCAGTCTGAAAAGTTACAAATAGAGATAACTCAAATTACATCAACACAAACATTCATATAATGGCATACTATGGAGTTCTGAAAGAGAATGAAGTTTTCCGTGTACTACTATGGAAAGATTTCTAAGAGCTACTCAATGGGGGAAAAAAGGTAGAGAATTATGAATGACACCTTTCATGCAAAAAAAGAAGAAAACTAAGAATTTATGTACAACAAAATGTAGGAGAGGGACTGGGGTTGTGGCTCAGTGGCAAAGCGCTTCCTAGCATGTGTGAGGCAGTGGGGTCGATCCCACCACATATAAATAAATAAAAAATAAAGGTACATCAACAATTAAAAAAAAAAAAAGTAGAAGAGCTTAGGATGTAGCTCAGTGGCAGACCATCTGATGGGCAAGCACAAGTCCCTGGGTTTGATACTGAAGACCACCAACAAAAACAAAAARGAGACCCAAGAACAATGGATAGGGATTGGGGGCTTAGCTGAGTGGTAGAGCACTTGATTAGCATGTGCAAAGCCCTGGACTTGATCCCCACCCAGCACTGGGAGGGGGAGAGCAATAGATAACAGAGTGGGGAGAGAATGGGGCAAACAGAAGGCGAGTTTAAAGGGACACTCATCCTGAATACTTTTTTATACTTTCTAGTTTTTGAACCATGAATGGTACCAATTAAAAAACTGAAATTAAGGGTTGGGGATATAATTCAGCATCCACAAGGCACTAGGTTCAATTCCCAGTATTACAAGAAAAGAGAGAAGAAGAAATTAAAAAACATGGGCAGCAGGTCAACACTATGTTCACCAAACTTTCTACAGCAGCAACACAGCAGTAACAGGCATGTCTCTCCTTCAGTGGCCTAGATTACTTTCCTGGAAATTCTAAGGACAATAATGAACATTTAGGTATTAAGTAGAGTGGTGGTGCTTTTTCCCCCTCAAGAAAAAGGAGGAGAGTATAAAGAAGTCAGTAAAAATTTCAGCAGCCACACCCTTTTGCCTTCACAAGAACAAAGGTCTGTGCAGAGCTGGCTCTACTCATCATGGAGAGTGTCAGTTGGAGGTTCAATGCTTCACTTTCCACCCCCCAACTCCCCATGTCCCCACTAGGGACAGCTGCAGGCAAAGAAGATCTTTGTTTCTTCCAAGTTCATCTGTTTCCCCTGCCAGGATCATAATTCTTCATTTGTGACATCACCATGAGCTACAGTGGGGGGGCTGGGATGTCACAAACAGAGGATTCTGTCACAAACTCGGGATTCTGGCTCCAGAATGGGTAAGAGAGAAAAGAAACCCAAAAGACTGCCTTCCGAGACAAAGCTTTTGCCTATGTAAACCTCAGAAAACGTGACAGTAGGCAGAATTCTCTTCAAAAACCCACACATAAAACAAACATGAATCACACTACAAAGACACTTGATTATTAAAACCAGTAGACAGGGGAGGGATGTCAATACTGGGACTCTGCATAAGCTTATCAGATATATTTATTACCAAATAAAAGACCTTCACAGTGTATGAGTTAGGAATGGCTGGCTCTCAACTGCATCCCCTTTTATCAAACATTAAGCCTCTGACACAGAAAGCACCAACTCCCCTTCTTTAGATGGAGCTCACTATTTGAACTCATGATCCTCCTGCCTCAGCCTCCCAAGCCACTGGGATTATAGGCGTGTGTCACCATGCCTGGTTTTTATTTTTTATTTTGAGATGGAGTCTCACTAAATTGCTTCCTCTGGTCTTGAACTTGCTATCCTCATGTTTTAGCTTCCCAAACAGCTGGGATTATAAGTGTGCACCACCCTGCTCAGCTTACTAACTTAAGTGATTCCAAAAATCTCTCCTGATAGATGGTCCCCAAAAGGTTAAAAACCACCTATCTTACCTTTTGAACTTAAATGAAAATTATTTCTAAATGCCCTTAAGGAAGGGGGGGGCTTGAACTCAACACAGTCTTTTTTCTCCCCCCAACATTTTTTAGTTGTAGTCGGACACAATACCTTTATGTATGTATGTGTATGTGTGTATGTATGTATTTATTTATTTTTATGTGGTGCTGAGGATCAAACCCAGGGCCTCGAATATGCTAGGCGAGTGTTCTACCAATGAGCCACAACCCCAGCCCCCAGTCTAAGGTTTAACAACAGTCTGGCATCAAAATGGTGGTAGAGACAGGTCATATCGCTGTTTAAAAATGTAAAGAGGGGGTCTGGGTATATAGCTCAGTTGGTAGAGTGCTTGCCTCACGTGCATGAGGACTTGGGTTCAATCTCCAGCACCACACACACACACACACACACAGAGAAGTAAACAGGGCCCCTCCCCACTTGTGATTTACAGCACAAGTTCAATTAAAGCAGGAATTAAAGTCAATTCTTATTATTAAAATAAAAATTAATTATCCAGCCGAACACAATGGCCCACACCTATAATCCCAGCAGCTTGGGAGGTGGAAACAGGAGTATTGCAAGCTCAAAGACAGCCTCAGCAATTTAGCGAGACCCTAAGCAACTGAGACCTTGTCTCAAAATAAAAAATAAGAAAGGGCTGGAGATGTGGCTCAGTGGTTAAATGCCCCTGGTTCAATCCCTGGTAMAAAAAAAAAAAAAAAAAAAAAAAAGGATTAACGAATCCCAATATTTAATTCAGACTATTTTTTCTTTATCAACCTCCACAGTTTTAGGATACTACCTTCTATCAATAACAGGGACAATCTCAAATTCACATTGCTTTTTTTTTTTTAGATGTTGATGAACCTTTACTTAATTCATTTATTTATATGTGGTGCTGAGAACCCAGTGCTTCACAATGCTAGGCAAGTGCTCTACTGCTGAGCCACAACCCCAGCCCTCACTTTGCTTTTTATCATAAAGCCAAATATAATTAAGAAAATTWAAAAAAAAAAAACACAAGGTTTTTTAGGAGAAAAAAAAAACAGGTCAAAAGCTAAATTCAAGTAATAATTTACTATTTCTAACACACTATTTCTCTTAATTATCACAGAGAAATGGCATTTCCTAGAGAGGTGGCGCTTGCCCTCTTGTAGATGTCCCTATAAAATATGCAAAAAAGGAAGGAGACAGCATGATAGCTAGACAGAAAGGAACCAGCAATATCAAACACATACACAAAACTAACACAGGACAGACACACACAGAGGGGAACGTTGTGAGAACGGGTAAATTGTACTTTACCTTCCGAAAATCTCGCTTCTCAAAATCCATTTCTGCTATTTTTTCATATTCCATGACTGCATTAGCATTCTTGAACTACACCGGAAAATAATAAGTTTTAATGAAGTTGTAGATATAACAATCACAAAAATCAACAAGGCCTTGATGAATCTATTCTTTGAAGGAAAAAAAAAATCAGTCCCTAGCACCACACAAAAAAAAGGAAAATCAGAATCTGAGATTTTTCAAAAATCAAGGTGGTAAAGACAGAGCCAAACATTCCTTAACAGAAAAGCTGAAGCCTGCATTTCACCCTCAGGCTGGGGATACAGCTCAGTGTCTATACAGTGCCTGTCCAGCACCAATTTTGAGTCTAAGACTGAAAAAAAAAGCCCAAAAATAAATAATAAAGAAAAACAATTTAACAAAACAAAAATCTCAATTTAAACTTTAAGGCAAGAATATAAGAGTCATGCTTTGACATATACAAAATAAAGGCAATGTATTGCCAGGAACTAAGCAGAAAATTTAGATTACCAAYGAAATGTATCCAAGGGTAAACTGAATAAACACGGAGATGGAACTAAGACATGTTTTATTTATTTTTAACTTCTGGTGCTGGAGACTGAACCCAGATTTACACTGAGTTCCATCCCCAGCCCTTTTAATTTTGAGACAGGTTCTTACTAAGTTGCTGAGGCTGGCCTCAAACTTGCTCTTCTCCTTCCCACTGCCTCCTGAGTTGCTGGTATTACAGGTGTGCACCACTACAATAAGCAGTGTTGTTTTTACTTTTTTGGCAGTCCTAGGCCTCAAATGTGCTAGGCCAGAGTTCTATCACTGAGCTACATCCCTCCCCAGTTCAGAATTTACTCAAATTCTTGTGTGTGAGTGTGTGTGKGGGGGGATACTGAGGATTAAACCCAGGACCCTGTTTGTGCTAGGCAAGTGTTCTATGACTTAGTTACAGCCCTTTCAAATTTTTATTTTCACACAGGGTCTTGCTAATTTGCCCAGGCTGGTGTCAGACTTGCAATCGTCCTGCCTTAGTTTCYCGAGTAGCTGAGATGACAGGCATGCACCACCGTAACTGGCTCACTCAAACTCTTTAACTTCAGCTGGGGACAGTGGTGCATGCCTGTAATCCCAGCAACTCAGGAGGCTAAAACAGGAGAATCTCAGGTTCGAGAATCTCAGTAATTTAGCAAAAGCCTGTCTCAATTTAAAAAATAAAAAGGGATTGGGCTGGGATGGTGGCTCCGCGTAGAGTGCTCGCCTAGCACAGGCGGGACCGGGGTTCGATACTCAGCACCACATAAAGATAAAAAAAAAAAATGCATTTTGTTGTGTCCATCTATGCCAAAAAATAAAAATATTTTAAAAATAAATWAATTAATTAATTAAAAATAATAAAAAGGGCTGGGAATGGAGCTCAGTGGTAAAGTGCTCCTGGATTAGATCCCCAGTACCAAAAACAAAACAAAAGAAAAATAAAACTTTTGAGTGACTGCATGCACAAGGCTCCAGGCTCAATCCCCAGCACCACACACACAAAAAATTAACCTCATTCAAATCAGTTGCTTAAAGCTTCTATCTATTCTCTCAGATATCTCAGAAACCCTTCAATTTTTAGACTTTTAAAAAATGTAAATCATATTCAGAACCCATTTTATGGATAAGAAAGTCGGGGATCAGAGAGACTAAAATCATCCCCAAGTGTGGCTAATGGAAGAAGGAGTACTAGATCTCACTTCTGACTTTTATTTTATTTTTTAAATTATTTTTTAATTTTTTATTTATATATGACAGTGAAATGCATTACAGTTCTTATTACACATATACAGCACAACTTTTCATATTTCTGGTTGTATACAAAGTATATTCACACCAATTCGTGTCTTTATATATGTTCTTTGGATAATAATGTCTATCATATTCCACCATCATTTCTAAACCCATGCCCCCTCCCTTCCCCTCCCATCCCTCTGCCCTAACTAGAGTTTGTCTATTCCTCCTATGCTCCCTTCTCCCTAACCCACTATGAATCCGCCTCCTTATATCAGAGAAAACATTTGGCATTTGTTTTTTTGGGATTGGCTAACGTCACTTATCATTCTCTTCTCTAACTCTACCTGCAAATGCCATGATTTTATTCTCTTTTTTTGCTGAGAAATATTCCATTGTGTATATATGCCACATTTTTTTTTATCCATTCATTTATTGAAGGGTATCTAGGTTGGTTCCAGTTTAGCTATTGTGAATTGTGCTGCTCAGTTCTGACTTTTAAGTCATTATTTCTTCCAATCACACCACGTTGTTTGATACTAATAGATTCAACTCTTACCTCTTGTTGTGCCTGAGCATTTTTGTGATCCAGTTCTAGGGCTCTCTGGAAACTACGACATGCTGCCATGGCATTCCCTAGGGAGAGGTGGCACTTGCCTTCTCGTAGATGACCCTATAAGAAGATACACAAAGAAGGAAGGAAAGGAGCTTGATTAGCTAGACAAAAAGAAACCAACAGCAATACCACCCACACAAAACCAACAAAGGATAAAAACAATAGAGCAATGGTTGTTAATCTAGGCAATGTGCCTCAGGGGATATTCRTGGCTGTTAGAATATCCCCTGAGGTAGATTGCCTAGATTAACAATTGATGAGAGGGAATGCTATTGATACTTAGTAGTTAAAAGCCAGAGATGCACAGGGCAGTCCTCACAACAAAAAATTATCTAATCCCAAATGACAACAGTGTCAAGAAAGAGAAATCCTCAACTGTAGCTACTCAACCTTCCCCCTAGAGCCACATTACATACCCGGACAAAACTGTCATCCAACCTCACTGACTGTTGTGCATCTCCAAGAGCTTCCCGGAACCTTCCAAGCATCATCAACGTGGCTGCTCGATTACCATAATAGCTAGCATTTTTAGGACACATATCTATAGGAAAGGTAAAAGAACACAAAAAGTTCAATACAGGTCACTGATTTGAAAACTTAGGGGCATCTCTCTCAGAACTATGTCAAGAATCAAACTATAAGAATGCTGAAGGACTGAGGATATAGCTCAGTAGCACAGTGTTAGCCCAGCATTTGTGAATGAGACTCTGGGTTCTATCTCCAGCACACACTTGTGTATACAAACACACAGACAGAATGTTGACAAACTCTAAAAGGCCACAGCTAAATTTTTAACTATCTGTGCAAATGGACAGCAGCAACCAATTTTAAAAGAAAACAAGATACAACTTTAGAGACTGGAAGTATAGATAGGTCAGTATAGATAGGTCAGAATAAAACACATGTTTAGCATCAGAGAGGCCCTAGGTTCAATCCCCAGCATCAAAACCAAATCAAAGGCCAGGTGCAATGCTGTACACCTGTAATCCCAGCAGCTAGGGAGKCTGAGACAGGAGGATCTGAGTTCAAAGCCAGCCTCATCAACTTAGAGAGGCCCTAACAACTCAGCGAAACCCTGGGGATGTGGCTCAGTGGTTAAGTGCCCCTGGGTTCCATCCCTGGTAACAACAAAACAAAAGAGAAACCAAACCAACCCAACAAAAAAAGAAGAAGAAGAAAACAAGTTATGATTTTTCTTTTTTTGCAGTACTGGGGCCTGAACCCAGGGCACTCTAGTACTGAACCACATTCCCGGTCCTTTTTTTTTTTTTTTGGAGAGATGGAGTCTTACTAAGTTGCTGAGGCTGGCCTTGAACCCATGATCCTCCTGACTCAGCATCCAGAGTTGCTGGGGGTTCCAAGTGTACACCACCCATGCCAGCTAAATTATGGTCTTAAAGTGCACTGGCGGAGCTCATCGCCTAGCAAGCAATATCAATGAGGTATTAAAATGAATTTGAGGGCTGGGGATGTGGCTCAGCGGTAG